TACAGTGGTGCCTCGTACAACGTACTTAATCCGTTCCAGGTGCACGTCCGTTAAGTGAAACGTCCGTTATACGAAACGCATTTTCCCATAGAAATACATGTTAAAACATATAATTTGTTCCGCAGCATAAAATAACCCGTACTGTACCATAAAAAAATGAAAATGGAGCAGTCACCAATTATGCCGGGTAGTCAGATGTTGTGAGGAGGAAGTGGAGGAACACTTTCTTCACACATTCATACAGTTAGACTTTTTACACATTGCAGCAGGTCATTTTTTTATTGTTTTTTAATTGGATTCAGATTCAGGAGAGGCTACCGGAGCTTGCGGGGTCAACTCCTCTTGTTCCATACTTTGCTTTTTCTCTGCTGGCTTCTTGAAAAACATGTCCAAGGTGGTCTGTTTCTCTTTCTTCAACACTTGTTGGAAATGACGGGCAAGAGTGTCATTGTAGAGACATTGATCCTGTTGGCCTCAGCTCTGTTGGTTAATGAGTGTTGGTAAACTCCTGGGGCCGTATTCTGGTCACTGTCTCTGATCTCTCGTCTCTCGCAAGCCAGTCGCTGATTGGCTAATCATTTGGATTAGCTAATCAGCGACCGGCTTACGAGAGACCAGAGACAGTGACCAGAATATGGCCCTAGAACCTCTCCCCATTCGACAAGGAACTTTTTGTCAACTTTCACTCCTTCTGATGATTTCTTGCATTGTTTCAATTGAAATCATTTTTCTGTTTTTTTAGAAGCCATGATTTGCACAACACTTGAATAAATGTACCCTGCACTGTGTTGATGTACCTAATAAACAAGGGAGCAAGCCTAATCCCAACACTCTGTACTTCAGATATACTGATAATATATTCTAATAATACTAATATATTATAAAAATAACATATTGTCATTGGCAAAGGCAAAAGAGTGGAAACATCATTCGCACTTGTTCGTAGAAAGTCCATTCGTCGCCTCACGTAACTGCCGAACGGAAAGTCTGTTGTCCGCAACCAGTCCGTTGATCAAGTCACATAACGGCCAAACAGAAAGTCCGTTATTCGCAGCATCCGTTATTCGAGGCATACATTATACGAGGCACCACTGTATTTTAAGAAATAAAGAAGCTGTATGATTCTGTATACAAAAATAAATGATATCTGACAACTATAACAAGTGTTTTCAGTAAAAAATTTGCCAAAAATACTTGTTATGCTCCCATAATTATTGCATCAGTATTAATTCTACTCTTAGTTAAGAAAGAAACAATAAATTAAAAATTTTCAACATAATTATCAAAAGAATAATCAAGTGAAATAAAAAGTTTATATGAAAAATATAATGCATGTATAATCTTTCATTGTATGTTATTAAATTGCAGATAGAACTTTCATTAATCAAGCATTTCTGATATTTATAGACTAATGAATAAAAAAATAATAAGGCAAAGAATTAACTTAAAAAATTACCCACAACAAAAAAATCATGAATTACCTCTAATATTCAAAAAGCTGCACTATGAATACATGAATGTATGAAAGATCTCAAACTATATTATGCCCTTTGTAAAACTTAAAGAGTTTCTCTCTACTATTTTACTCTAAAACTATTACTATTTTACTCTCTACAATGTACTCTAAAACATTTTTTATTTAAACAGAATCTTAGGATTCACTACTTTTAATTATAATTATATGAAAAAAAATGTTTTATCAAATCAAAACAAATTTTATTTATTTAATGATAAATTCAAAATAAGAATCTTTCTTAAATATTAATAAAAAGTTTACCTAATAATGGAATGGAAAGTTGGCGATGAAATATGGACATGATGCGATTTGTCTGCTGCTTTATTTGTTCCTGTTGTTCTGGACTAGAAACAACATCAGGTGAAGGCTAAATCATAATAAATGAGCAGAATTTTAATGAATATAAAAACAGAATGAGCATAAACCATTTCTTCGACATTATGAAAATTTTCTTTGACCCACACACTTATCAGTTTATAACTTTACAAATTCTATTTTATCAGTTTTTATTGCTAAATAATATTGTNTAAATTTGAAATAAATCTGAGAAAAAAAAACAAAAATAAATAAAAACAGAAACATTTTTGAATTTTGCCTATTATGTATATAAAAAAAATTAAAATAATAATTTTAAAAATACTACCAATTTATTTTTGTATGAACAACCTTCAATCAATAGTAAAGTGTTTTTTATTTTTGAAATGAATCAGATAATTAAATTGCACTATTTTAGATTTGTTTACATTCTTCAGATATGCAAATCAGTGAGAAATATAAAGGCATATAAAATATTTTATTGCTACTGATTATCAAGATTACAGCATAAATGAATTATATTTGAAAACTGATTTACAAAAAACTTGTTCTTTTATATAAATCAATTTTCAAGGATTTTATTAACAAATATAAATACAATACCAGGATAACAGTTAATTATCATACATGTGGAATAAACACTAAATTAAAAGATAAAAGTATCTTCATCTTTCATCCTTCTTCACATTTCAGGATCCAACAATAGTCTAATCAAGGCTTAGAGTTGACCTTTTCTTTAAGGTTACTGATATACAAAATATTAAAATTCTTTTGATGGCAAAACAATTAAAAATATATATTATGCTTTTATTTTTTAAGTAAAATTAATAATAAGTTTAACATGGCCATGAACAACAGAAGGAAATGACTGAAGCAAAGATTTTTTTTCTTTCTTAAAAGTTGTACTTATATTTATTGTATTATTTTATTTTTTAATTTATTATGTCTTCTAATAATTAATTGTTGTCTTGATATTTTATTTATAATTGTGATATATATATACAGTAGATCCCCCTATAAAACCGTTTCCTATAGTTATGATTCCTATAAAAATTGTGGCATTATCCGTAAACAACGGTAAAAATAACTCCTATAATATGTAAAACGTCATCGGGCAGCCGAACTACTTACCCGCCGTCCGTAGCGCCACGCTACGGAGAGATTTCTATCGTCTGGACAGTATTATATAAATTATATATAAATTAGGTACTGTACATATAATTATATATTAATTATATATAAATTAGGTACTGTATATATAATTATATATTAACTTAATTTATTGTAACTTTATTATAATTAAATATATATTTTTCGCCGTCTAGCGTCACGCTACGGCGAGTTAGGCGACCTATCGTCTGTTTAGTACTGTAATTTTATACATTTCTTGTGAAAGAAACATTTCT